AATTTGGGATTTGGGATTTGGGATTTTGGCATTTGGAATTTTGGCATTTGGATTTTGAATTTGGGTGGCAGGTATACTTTGGCCTTGCATTTTTGTGGAGTAAGATATATTTGATAGTCATACTGATTCTCTAATCACTTTGCAATATCTTTGAGCTGAAAGTGATCATATCCTTCTTCCCGACACGCTTTCTGTAATTTTTTACTATTTGAATGAAATCCAGATATATTGTAGTAAATAAAACGTAGGACAATTTGCAATTCCTCATTAGGATTAATTATAATAGTAGGCATACTCATTTTCAACGTATTTTACTGTAATAATAAATTATGTGTTGCGCAATAAAGTCTAGGTAAAATTAAGCATAGAAGGTAGGTGTATTTATCTTTACCTTATGAAGGATGTGATCAGTGTATATATTACCCATTAATGGAAACTCTTGGAGCAACCATTAAGAAATTACGTATTCAGATCCAGAAAAATGATGATTATATTGCTTATCTGAAAAAAAAATTACTATAAGAGACGATAAGATCGATATTCTCCAGATGCAGGTAAATGATCTCAAAATAAGACTCCGGAAAGCAGAGGCAGATGCTCAGTCCAATGACAAAAATATATCTGTCCTCGAACTCCAATTGGAAGAAATGGGTGAAGATATTTTGTTGCTTCAACATAGACTTCAAAAAATAAAAGAAGGGATGTTATTAATCATCCCAGACACATCGGCTAGTGTTTTTACATTATTAAATGAAACAAGAAATAATATTAGGATTTTATTTGATTCTGTCAGAGGTGAGAATGATCTGTTAAATGGTAAAATTGATAATTTGCAGACCCAGATCGAGTTGAAGCTCACTCAAATTCAAAACAAGTGTCACATATATGAGCGTAAAAATAATCAGCTTCGAGAAGGGTTAGCTCAAGAATATGAGAATGAAGTGGGGCGTCTCCAAACAACTATAAATGAGCAGAGAGACTGGATAGACGAATTAGGTAATGAAGCCCAAAATTGGTATCAAAGAGCCAATTAGTTACAAGGTCGCTATGATACGGTTCTAGATGAAGAAGATTGGTACAGAATATACGTGTTGCCCAAATCCCAAATCATTTGGGATTTGGGACGCCAAAATCCCAAATTACTAGTATTTGGGATTTGGGATTTGGGATTTTGGCAAAAAATACTAATCATAATTTGGGATTTGGGATTTGGGATTTTGGCATTTGGGATTTCGGCATTTGGATTTTGAATTTGGGTGGCAGGTATAGTACAGAACAGAATGTTTTCGGTACGAAGAAATTCTTAGAGGGATCCATGAAAATATAGCTCATGAAGGTGCAGATCAATTAGATTTGGAAGATGAGAATGCCATTTTAAAAGAGGAGATGTGTATAGCTAGTTTAATGATTATTGCCCTACGAGTTAGACGCTTAATTCTTATGAATAGAAGGTATGCATTATGGCAAGATGCAAATAATAGAGCACGGCGTTATAGACGCAGGTACACTCTTACCAATTCGCATAACCTTTATGGGCGTCTGACTATTCGGACTCAAAATAAGCGTAATGTAGAACTGCTGAGAGAAAAATTTGCTTTCCAGTTATTGATTCAGCAATACAATAGACGATTAATAACTTGTCATGACCATGGCCAGAATTTACAGTTACAACTAACTACAGCTCAGAACGATTTATTTTTGAGTAATACTCAACTTAATATCAAGTGGGGCAAGTGAAAAAATAGAACACGGGATGCTGAGCAATTAATTTTGAATTTACAAGGACAAATTTTACATTTTCAGAATAATCCATTAAATATGGCAACTGTTGTAGGTGACTTAATTAGTATTTCACCATTGATTGTGAATTTTAAAAATTATAGTGGACAAATTCTACCAGATGAATGGTATCAAGGTATTAATAAAATATTAATATTACCATCAATTACAGTGAGTGCCTTTAATGATGCACTTAGAACAGAAATTTTGAAAAGCAAGATGACTGGAAAATATACAGATATACCTGCTCAACACGCTAGTAATAATATTGATACTTCAGCTCGTTTTATTATCTAGTTGCGACACAAATATCAAACAAAAACTGTTGGAACACAACAAGTCGCTACTCAAAGATTAGCTCAAGAAAAATTTTTACCCTTCGATACTCCAGAAACTTATGAGACCAGAATTCGCCCTCTTATATTAGGAGTTGGTAATGGTGACGCCAATATTTTAGGACTTCTCAAGGGACATTTATCAGGTGATCTTTATACTTGGATGAGAAGTGATAATCCTACAGATATTAATGCTTTCTTTTCTTCACTTAAAAATATGTGGCTTAAACGTCGACCTTCACCTAGTTATGGAAGTCAAATTCCTGATCGAATCCCTCAAGTTTCAACTGTTAGTGAGCAACCGTCAAATACAGTTTCAGCTTTAATTACCTCTGAAGAGATAGATAGAAAAATTCAAACAGCGGTTGCTTCATTGGAGAATCAAAAGAGTGAATCTAACAAAATACGCTCCGATCCAAATTTATACTTGAATAATATGGATTCTGATCCTTCCTTTTTTCAGAATCTTATGAATATAATGAAGGATATTTCTAATTACCTCGCTAACCACGAAATAACTGCTTCTGGCAAGAGAAAAAAGAATAACCCTTCAAGTAGTGATGACATGGATGCAATTACAAAAGGTATGGCAGAATTATCATTAAATTTGGCCAAAACTTCCAAAGTTATTAAGAAGTCTTTACGCAGATGTTCCAATTGTAATAGAACAGGGCACACTTCCCGCACTTGTTCTAAAAAGAAAAAAGTAGACGAAAAGCCTGTGTGAATCATATCAATAAAAATAATAGTTTAAACTCGGAAAACGATTCTTCTGATAGTGATTCTGAAACAGGGTTCAATTCTGAGGATGACTCAGCTGAATTCGATCATAGTTTTAATATACACGTTTCTGGATCAAAAAAAAAGTAAAACGTAAAAAAAATTCTGGCAAATCGTCCCCACCAAAGCCTAAACAACCCAAGGTCAAAAAAGAGGGAACAAAATTCCGAGTTTCCTCATCCAAGTCTTGCAAGGAAAGCCAAAGCAAACAAACAATTTTAGAACAAATCATTCGTAAAATCGTTCGAAGTGAACTTAATGAAATCATACCCCTACATCTGTTACAAAGCTTTGAACCTAAATTTAGTTCCATAAGGCCTGCTCACATAGAAAAGTTACCTCCCATTCAAGATAATATTTATTGCGAGCCCATTCCAGAAATACCTGAATCAGATGGGGAGGAGGAGACTTTGGAGGATCCTATGGAAATTGATTTTGTTCAGAGAAGGGACCCAGCCACAGATATTGCAACTGCAGAATGTAAAATCAAACGTTTAATAATCCCAGCTGCTGGTCTTGATTCTTGTGCTAATTTTCCAATTATGACCGAGGATATTGCTAAACGTGTCAAATTAGTAATTAATACAAAAGAAAAACACGATCTCAGTGGAATTGCTACCACCCGTACTGAATCTATTGGGATCGTTCGTAACGTTCCTGTGACTTTTGCTCCAGGTTGCACCATACATTCTGATTTTGCAGTCGTTAAGTATTACAAACCAATGTTAATTTTACCTAATACATTGCTCGATAAATATGATTATGATTTACTTGCATCAAAGCGTGTGTTGAAACTCG